ACATCTTTGTACCTCCAAAAATATTTCAATGATAAAATTAAGTCCTACAGAAAAATTAAGGGAAATTTTTTTGGAGCTATCATCTTTAACTCAAAAGGAAGGAACATTAGTATTAATCTAAATTGATGTTCTTACAGAAGTAAAAGGCGGTTTTGACTCCTGGAAACTATCTACTTCAGGGAAAAGCCTTCCAATCATTTGATTTCTATTCCAAAATTTAAAAGAATATTTGCGGGGGTGGGGGAGATAGGTCAGTGAGTAAGGTAACTTGCCTCCAAGACTGATACTTGAGTTTCATCCCTTTAACACACAGGGCAGAAAGAGAGCCTGTTTCCACAAGTTGAAGTCTCTCTGACTTCTGAACACGCACACACACATATGCACACACACACACACACACACACACTCGCACGTGTGAGTTCACACACACATGCACACTAAATATGTAAATAAGTAATCAAGGCTGAGAATATTTTTGAAGTTATGTTTTTAAGTATGACATTTTGAGAAAACTGCAATTCAAGAGCCAGTGAACTGTGGAAATAAGTGCTCGAGTGAGGCGCCATTCTTTCTGCTTGCAGGGCGTTTTTGGTGATTACATGAATGACTTTCAGAAAGTGGCAGCTATGGAGACTTTGAAAATATTAGCTTAAGCCTTTTGTTTTCCCCCAGTATATGCAACAAAAGTTGTCCTGATGGGGCAATGTTCACATACTCAGAAACCTCTTCACTCATCCAGAGATAACCAGTTCTGAGCATTGTGAGAGTCCAACTCACTTGACCCCAGTGTAAGATCTTTCAGCAGAGATCTCTGGATCCTCAGTTTTCTCTGCCTTGCATATAGGGCAGCTTAAAATTTTTTTGTTGCTTTCCATAAATGTGGTCTGAATATATTAACCAAATACATTTGCTATTTAATTGTCAATGTGGAAACTGTAACAAACTTCCCCCCACCCCCACTGCAGGACCACCGGCTATTTGGAGAGCAGTGAAGGAATCCTGTTAATGTAAATAAACATGCTCTCCCACTAGTTATACGTGTGACCTCGTGACAGGGACTTCCCTCTTTACAGGCCAGTTTCCTCGCCTATAAAGTGAAGGAATTAAGCCAGATAATGTTCAAAGTCTCTTCCTGTTTTTTCACAGTGACTCTTGTGTGATGACATAGGACATATATTATTTACAGTGTTGGGAGCCCTGGCCTTGTGTGCCTCTTACCCCTCTTTGAAAAGGAAATGAGATGATCTTAAGAGGCAACTGGGAAAGACTGCAGCGTGGTATGTTTATGTGCGTGTGTTTAGGATTCCAGAGCACAGGGCAATAGGTAGGACTAGAGCAGCAAAGTTAGTTCAGGGAAAAATTTTTACTTAACATCAATTAAGTAGATAATGGTAGGTTTTATTCAAAATAAGGAAGGCATTTTTCATATTCATAAAATGTGAATGACTCCAGGCCTATTTAATTCTCCACATCTGTTAGACAGAAAAAAAGAAAACTAACGAGCTAACAGAAAAGCACACTTAAAAATAACATTTGGTTTGCAGATATACCATTCGGTTGCCAAAACGAAGTTACTGGAGCTTTTGTAGTAATTGCTGTGACTGGGCAGAACACAGAGACTCTTGTACATTCATGTTGGCATGTATACACATGTATTTGTGCTTCGAAACTCGTATTAGGACCTGCTGTTCATTTCCGGAATGGAGCCTAAATTAGACGGGGAGATGAACTGAAGCGGCTGAGAACGGACGTGAAGCATGCCTGCGTTTCAATGAGAGCCGAGCGGAGAGTAGCACAGAAGCACTCAATTGCTATACCTCGATTTATTTGTTAGTTTAGTTCTCACTCAAAGGACCTTAAAGTGGACAAATACACCCAGAGAAGTCATCTGTAGACTCCTTTGCAATGTTTGTTTACTGAGAGCCAGCTTGGTGGGCTCTGTACAGGCTGGGGATTTTAGAGGCCCCAGGCAGCTTTAGTTCCCTTTCAAGCCCTCTAGCTATATTACCTCATTTTCTCATCAGGAAAAGAAGAAATAATATAGGATGTGAGATCATGCTACTGTGTAAAGAAACAGTGAGAAGGGGCGTCAAGATGTCACTACTAAATCCACGTCTAGAAATCTACACCATTGCTCACAGATTTTGTAATCCCCGTGGCTTCCATAAATAAACATGAAAGTCACCCTCTCATAATAGTTTACAACGTCCCTCACCCATACCATATCACAACTCTAGCCATAAATCTATCACAACCAACTGAGGCACCTGCTGCCTCCCTTATCTCCAAAGGACAAAGCTGGATATGTGTGGGAGAGCAAGTTGTACATTCTAAAATTGCAGGACATGAAATCAAAGATGTAAACCATAGCATGTCTGTATAACCAACTTGTTTTGCAGTACCTAAACACAGAAAATGTCAGTGCAACAGCAAAGCAAAACAAAAGTGTGAATGCCATATCTTAGAGAATATACCTAACCTCCCACAATAGATTGTTATACCTTTTTGTTTTCCAAATTTTGTCTCCTCTGTTTCTAATATAGGAAAATCTTTTCCTTCCTGTATATGCATCATGAATTGTGAGGAAAGTTGTGATTTGCTCCCAACGATATCTATTCTGCCTCTCAATGTCCCTGCTGACCAGGAAGACAACGCTTAGTGTGTGAAGTGATCTGCTCTGATGGGTGGAGAACTCACTGTATCCTAAGAGATATTCCTTCCCTATTGGTGCCTACAGAAAGGATCCTCCAAACAAATGAAGATTAGGATGTTAGACATCAGTGGAGCACTCCTTCCAAAAAACAAGGAACCAAAGATGTGGATCTTGGAGCAAAAGCAGGACCAAAGACATTTTTGTTATGTTTTAGTTATTTATAGTTAAAGTTGTAATAAGCATTGATGTTTGATTGCTTTGATATTCTGTAAATTGATCTATCATTCAGTTTTCTAGCATATAAGCAATTATTTGTTATAAGAAGTAAAAGAAAATGGACACTTGTGCTTTTTGCCTTTTGCAGACTTGAGAGACTGCTTTTACTGATATCAGTCACAGCGGCTGATAAACACTATCTGTACCTCCATTTGTGGGATATTTGTTTAAAATGTGTAAAGACATGTTTTGCCTCACCTACTTAAGACACTTGATTGGTTTAATAAAGAGCTGAAAATATCTAGGTAGGAGAGGTTAGGTGGGACTTCAAGGCCAAGAGAGGAACTCAGGATGAATCTAGGCACATGGGGAGACAGCAGAGAGACAGAGTGGGTACAGATGAAGGAGAGGTAAAAAGCTACGCGACAGATTGTAGATTAATAGAGACAAGTTAATTTAAGTTATGAGAGCTAGTTGGCAACAAGCCTAAGCTAAAGGCCAAGTTTTTATAATTAGTAATAATTCTCTGTGTCATTACTGAGGAGCTGTTGGCCCCTCCAGAAAGTTCGAGAAGAAAGACTCACTGCAACCTCCCAGGTAGCTCTTTCCCTCTTCCATGAAGCATCTTCTGCTGCTCAGTAACTAAGAACAGGTCCACAGTCAGCCAGTTCTCATCTTTACTGAAATCTTCGGGCAGGACCCCAGCTCTCTCCCCTGTCTGCTACACTGAGATCTTTAGAGACTCCCTCTGATTTACCTGGTGAACTTCCAGAGGGAAAATCTCTTCAAGGAGCTAAGTTTCTGCACCTAGTGCTTTGAATGTGGTAAACCCGGGAACCATATGAAGAAGGCTGCTAGCAGAACGTACCTCCTGGGTTTAGGCATTGCAACACCTGGGCCTTCTTTTGTAGCGTGTAACTATATGTTCCTTGCTAAAAGAATATTTGTTCTTTTGAATCTGCACCAAGTCATTTTCTACATATCTCTTCTTATGTATTTGAATTTCTATAATTAGTCATAAAAGATATAATTAGGAACAGGAGTAATAGCTGTATCAAGTACAGCATGCTTGACAACATTAGGAAAGTTAAGAACAAAAGTCTGCACAGTTGATTTAGATCATGCTACCATTCGCAATTCCAACAAAAATAAGGCATGCAAAGCTTCGCCATAAGTTTTAGTAGTGTGCTTAGACATTCCAGTTTAGTACTAGAAAATCAGATTATACACTACTTTAAAAGAAAATTCATGTGCAATATGCTGCATTTAGTTTTAAGAGCTGTCTGATTATACAATGTACATTCCACCATATTCATGTCTCTCCTGTTCATTATGCTTTTCCAGGGCACCCAGGGACAACACTGGCCACATGACCAGCAACAATTTATGAACTAAGCTTTAAAAGTCTCATACTTTTTTTTTAGTAAATAATCTAATGGTTATGTCTCCGATTAAAGCTTAGAATTGAATAAAGACAATTGTAAATCTATCTAGCACTGAGTAAGACTACACGTTAATTGCAACTATCTCTTTATGCCTACACATTAACTGATAATTTAACTGATAAATAATCTATAGTTTGGAGGTTTGATATTTATCTTCAAACTGAATATTTCATACTTCTGAATCTCTCTCTTTCATTTTAAATGCTTATTTATTTTGTGTACGTTTGTGTGTGGAGGGTAGAGGTGCTTGTCACAGTGTGTGTCCTGAAGATAAGGGACAACATAGGCAAGCTGTTTCTCTCCCTTTACTATGTGGGTTCTAGGGACTGAACTCTGGTCTTCCTGCTTATCAGCACCTGTAAATACCGAGCCTCCTCATCAGCCCCCAATGGTTCGTTTTGTTAAACCTTTCACAGAAGCGTTTTCCTTAATATCGTGGAGTTGGCTTTTCAGGACCCTGGGACTAGCGGAGTTATTTTAACTTGAAAAAATGTCAGACGCACTGAACTAACTAGTCAGAATGTGAAGGCTTCATCTCTTCTAGTAACAAAACTAGCGTAATGCAATATAGTTATGTGAAAGGTAGGAGGCAAATAAAAAGCATGTTTGGACCGGTGCCAGAAGGAAGGCATCAATGTATATGAATTATTTTTTATTATAATTTTTACTTGTGGTATTGTATGTCATTTTCTCTTTCATCCAACTAAGTAAATTACAAAGCTTGGATGTAAAATTTAAATACAAGGTGTAGGTATTTTAGATGATTATATGAATTTGAAGCAGTTTTATAGAAAAGAGTGACTGTGTCATCTATAGCTTCCCAAATTACCAGGTGAAAATTTTTACTGAGTTTGTCCTTTCTTCCTTTCATACTTTCTGGAAACATTGCCTTATGTGTTCTTTACTAGTTTTTAAAAATATACAACACAGAAGTGACCCATGCCTCTTGTTTCTAGTCACTAGACTAAAGTTATGTAGACAATTATTTTTATTATTGTATCTATTTTAGGTGAGTAAAGGTCCAAATGGATAAAGTCATTATTATTTATTTATTATTATTATCTATTTTTGCTAAATAAAAGCCCAAAGAGAGAAGCCATTATTATTATTATTGTTCATTTTTGTTAAGTAAAGATTCAAATAGAGAAAAGTTGTGCATCATCTTGAAAAGCTAAAGAGAGATAGCAGAAACACTCTCTCTTGGTTTTCCCAGTGCGCGATGGGAAGCTGTCTGTGAAGATGTGTCTTCTCGCCCTCCCTCAGCACTCCGGAGCACAATCACAGCTACTAGGAAAGTATCTTCATTTCCAAAACTTTTAAAAATGTTCTCCAGTTCCTGCTTTGCAACTTTCAATGTGCTCACTAAAATATTTTCTTAATGGTTTAATTTTGCTTCTACATATTAATTTGGGTTTTTTTTTTTTTTTGCCTTCTCTTAACATTGGGTAGCTCTAAGGAAATTCAATGCCTTTTGACTCTTTGTATTTTAACTTCTGTTGCCTTATAGCTTATACTGAGAGCTTAACATTGATTCAGAGCCAAAGAAACATCTCAAATTTAGACCATATGGGAATATTTACTAATGTTTCCTTTCGGATTATAAAATGTGCTTAAATTGAAGTAGAGAAGTTATACTGAATATTGCCACTGGTGAGTTAATTTGGTGGTAGATACTTAAGGTTTATTTTCCCTTAAGGTGTGTTTTGTCTTTATTTTAATACACAAGAGCACAACAATTTTGTCTTTATATTTTTAATTATTAATAATATTGTGGCTGTGTTGTTCATTCTAATATTTGTCCATGTGCCGGAATGTTTCTTGTGTTCCTCTCCTCTTTCTATGTTTCATGCTCTGTATTAGAATTCATTTGCTCTGCTAGGCTGCTGCCAAAAGTTAGATGCAACAGCAAAACTTACTGAAAAGTAGAGAGAAGGGAAGTTTTTAAAATTGGAATCCTATGATGTCTTTCTTCTCTGAGAAAAACGTTCCTGCACCTATGTGCTTTGGGGATTTGACATTATTCATTGGGCTGACCCCAGGAAAGGAAGTGAACACAGCCTTCATAAAGAAGATTATTTTTGGTGTTAAACTTTGTTGTATTCTTTGTGTAAAAACTGACTTAAACAATCTCGTGTATCCTGGCTGCGTTTTCTGCCTATAAGGAAGTATATATGTCTTTTAACGTTATCAATCCCTGTACCTATTTGTTAACATTTCCTTAAGTGTATTTTCTCCAGATGTTGGAAGTAAAAACGCCCTTGTTATTTTTTCCATGGTCACTCTTCACTACTTTCCATAGGCTGTGGGGTTGTGTGAGCCAAGGACTGGAGGAAATAACAGACATGGGAGCCCCAAATTATAGACACAAAAATTAACTTGCATAAAATACATTTTAAGTGACACTACTTTCCAGAAAGCCAGCTCTAATTGACTCACGCCTAGAAAGCAGTAACGGAGGAGCCCGTCAGACACACGTCCACGGATCTCAGAATGTGCTCCACAGTGTGACATTAGCAGGCATGATGACATTCCCAGCTTGCTACCAGCACATTCCAAAAGGCAGGCCGGGTATTTTGGTACCGGTCAGGCCGGTTTCCCTCGGCAGTATCTTCTGACAAGCAGAGACTGATAGGTTATTTACTTCAGCTGTGGAGAACCGTGCTGTTCACCTGCCAGTAGATAAAAGGAGAGAGAGTGAGGGCAAGCGGCGGGAGAGGGCGACTCCAAGGGTTTCCTTTACAAACACGGCCCTTACCCAGGTTTGGGGCTGTGGCAGTCCTGGGATCCTGCTGTTCATAGAATGTTACAGATGGCTGCGTGGGCAGGAAGCCCTCCCCTTGCTTAACAGTGCTCTGGGGACTCCACAGGCCTGGAAGGAGCCCTCTTCTTCCCTTCCAGGCTGCTTCTCCAAACCCCCACTGAGCAGGAAAAAGAGAGAGAAACAAAGGGAGAGAGAGAGAGAGAAATAGTTTAAAATATTTAAAAAGCACACCCCTAGAAACATGTCTGCCAGTCTGGTTTTTAGTGGAATTTTAAATTACCCTTTTTGCTCTTGATTGGAGTAGTGACTTAGATATCGCCATTGCCGGCATCCTTATAACGTTCGGCGCCAACCACACCAGCTCACTGAAGTGACACACCACTTGTGCTGAATTCTAATAGCACTTTTGAGTTATGTAACAGTTTCACAAAACAAAAGGAGGCTTGGATTCTAAAATAATTGGGAGCGTCTTGGCTGAATAAACACGGCATGCTTCCTTTTTCTTTCCTTTTTCTAAAATCACACTTTAAAGTTTAATTTTCCTCAGAATTTTTCTTTGGTGCTTTCAGTGTGTGTGTGTGTGTGTGTGTGTGTGTGTGTGTGTGTGTGTGTGTGTGTGTGTGTGTGCATGTGTGTGTGTGTATGTGTGTACACCACACACATGCATACAGAAGCCAGAAGTTGATGTCTGATATTTTGCTTAAACTGCCTCCATCTTAGTTTAAAGAGTTGGTGCCTCTTCTTGACCCAGAAGTGTATTAATTCTGCTACAGATATGTTCCTGTCTCTGCCTCCCCAAGAGCAGGATCACATGTCTATGCGAATGTTTTCATACTTTTTACATGGGATCTAGAGAACAGAATACAGGTTTTCATGCCCGCATGACAAGCATTTTACTGGACAGCCATCTTCCCTTCCAGATGGTGTTGTTTTTAACAAAAATAAAAGCTTAGTTGCTTTGAATCTATTAACAAAGGGGGTAATTTCACAATTACAAAACTAAACTATGCAATATATATACATATATATTTAGCCTACGTGAGTTTTGCTTATAATTTGAAACAATGTCATCCTCAGTCTTCCATTTATACAACTTAAAGACATATTTTATTCATACTGAAACAAAATATTCTGAAAAAAGGTCACTTTTATTTTGAAATGTTTGATATCAGGAGAGAACTTTTCTGCATTGTGTAAGAAAAAAAATCATTTTAAAATCAATTTTAGTTTTCTTACATGTATTTCATTTTTAAAAAAATGAAAACAAGCTTGTGCAAGGCAAGAAAAAATATTGGAACTTTCGTGTTTTTGACTCATGTTTCCCTTTAAGAAAAGTAGGAATTTGTTAAGAGAAAGCCTCAACCATCTTCTTCTGGATGTGCTGGAGTAAGGAGGCAGCATTACCATCTTCCTGGGAGGGAAGCCAGATGGTAACAGAGCTGCCCTGGAGCTCCGCACACTTGGAACTGGACTAGCCCTTCTTTTTCTTCTCTTTTCTTTGGAACTGGTTTTCTTACATGATTTATCTTGATGACTTTCTTTGTTGAATCCACTTTTGATTTGGAAATTAATTCGTTGGAGTCAAAATCAGCTGAACTGAAAGAACATATTTAGAGGAAGTGGGAACTTCCTAAAAATAAAAATGGAATGTCTTCATTATACTCCAAATCGGAGATTAATATGTGGGCAATTCGCCTTAGTTTCCAGATCATCAACATTCGGAGGCGGTTTGAACTTCATAAAATCTAGGTTCTAGAATTTTTACTTCTTCGATAAAAAGAGACTTTTTCCATACTTTACTGATCTTCATCTTCTTTAGGTCAATGATATGGCCTGTGGTCATATCTTACAACTTGACTGACCACATAGTAAAACACTCAATAGAAATGTTGGCCATCCATACACATAAGAGCCCAGGCTAAATGCCAGAATTCTCATCTCTGTATTTAAACATCATTGACCAATTGATTCTAATTATACATTTAAGGAAAAAGAAAGCCTACTGTTCAAAATAGAACCCATTTGTCATAAGCCAAGGAGCATTATTAAAGTCATTTTCTTAGCATGTATATTGAACCCTCCAAGTAAAATAATTTTGTGTTCTACATTGTTGTATTCCTTTCTTATAATATGAGTTATTTCCACTTCCATAATATATATATATATATGTATATATATATATATATATATACACACATATGAATGTCAGGAATCTGGACAGTTGCTATGTAGTTAAGTTGTTGGGACTTAGGGATTTTAAAAGGATTCCTTGATTTCCCAAGCTCAGAAGAAAATTCTGTAGACATCATTAAGAAGAAATAAAACCCAAAAGAAGCTGTGTGTGTGTGTGTGTATGTAAATATAGGTATGTATGTGTGTGTAAGCACATGCATCCTCTTGCAATGGGTTTGTGTCTGAAAAAGCTCGTTAATTATAGTTTTTACTTGACAGATGATTAGACTGGATCATCATAAAGATATGTGAACGTGGAAAAAGAGCCTCTATTTCTTAAGCCTAATAGGTAAAATATAAATTGTTGTTTTCAAGGGGAAAAAAATACAAATCCCACTGAAAATGTCTCAAATGTCTACATGTGTAATGGCTCAGCCAGGCCCGATGCACTAATGACAGCCATTGCCTCATGCTGCAGTGCTGCAGAGCAGAACCGTTCCTGCACACGGTTCCTATCCAAGTCCTTTAAGAAACAATGGCTGGAAGATGAAAGTCTTGTTAGGTTTCAATGAGAATGTTTGGCACACCATGAGGAAAAGCCAACAATCTGCTTTTAACAAGAGACACTGGAAAAACGTCGGTTAACATACCGCCGAAAATATTAATTCTCCTTAATGGCAGGATGCAACGTAACTTTTTATAGTTTTTGATCCATGTCATAAATTTGGCTACGACAAAAGGGATACCCCAGCTTTAACTCACTGGCAAGAACATTAGCTATTTTCCAGTCTTAATAGGTTTGGCCAGATTTCTCTCCTCAGAAGGATGTCTAGATATGTGTGTGTGTGTGTGGGGGGGGGGGTGTTAGCACACATATGTATGCACTTATGTGCTTGTGTGAGTGTGTAGTCAATGTGTGTGTGGACAATGTGAGAAGTTTTCTAAACCCTTACATTCTAGGCTGTTTCATGATTGTCAGGATCCCAATTGAAAACTTGAGTCAATGACGAAAAGAGCTAGCTGTCTTACAAACCACCGTGCTTGCTCATTAAGACCCCAGCCACAGGCTGCCCGTTTCAAGTCAGCTGAGTGAGATAAAAGGATGCTTTCCTACAGTTTTACCCCACTTCATAGTTTGAAACTTTGGGATATTAGGAATTGAGGAGATTAACAGAGGGGGAAAGGCTGCCATCTGAATATCTTTGAACTGTTTTAAAACAGCATTGCCTTTGCTCTGAATTTTCATGTACAGTATTTTCTTAGTGACAAAAAAGATATAATGTTATGTGCGTTGTGTAACTTCAGGGACAGACTTCAACATTTCATTCCTAATGTATGTTTTACACTCTATGGCTGAATGGGAATTTGTTTTGTTTTTCCTTCAACAGCTGAAAGGAAAAGGAGTTTTTGAATTCAGGAATCACAAGAAAATTTGCTAAAGGCGTAACTCTTTAAGAAGACATAAAATTGTAATCAGATTTTAAGATTTTATGCTTCGACAGCAATGACAGAACATAATGAACTAAAAAGATGCTAACAGATTTCCATTTCTTCTATTTTCAATTTCAGGGTTAATCCAACGTCTGAAAGCAACAATTGGGTATAAGATGAAGTATTAACTTCTTATACAGGAAAAATAGCTTTGTACCTGATTAACTCAAATGCTTTTGATGAGTAGGAATACTAAAAGAGCCAATTACAGTACAGTGCTCCTTTCTTACAGCAGGGAACTTTCATTACCCCCCAAGTCATATCCAAGGGTGAGTGACAAAATTCAAATTTCCAAACCATTGTCTAGAAATCTGAGGAACAGGTGAAGAGTCTGCTTTTAAACTAATCTTTTTCTTTCCTTTTTCCTTTATTGAAAAGAGATTGTTTTCTAATACAATATAGCCTGATTATAGTTTCACCTCTCTCTAATCCTCCCAGTCCCTCCCAACCTCTGCTCCCCTTTGCATTCACCCCCCTCTTGTCTTTAATTAGAAAAGATCAGGTTTCTAAGAGATAATAACCAAAAATTTCAAAAGAATATATAATAAGATGAAGCAAGAACTATCATATCAAAGTTGGACATGGCAATACCAAAGGAGGAAAAGAGCTCCAAGAGCAGGCACAAGAGTCATATATATATATATACACACACATTTAGAAGAGCTATAATATACATTTAGAAGAGCTGATGCAGAGCCATGTAGGCCTCATGGTGCTTAAGTTTCTGTGAGCTTATATGTACATTCTCTTCTGACTCTTACAATCTTTCTGTCTTTTTTTTTCCCTCAGGATTCCTGAAATCTGAAAGGAAGAATTTGATGGAAACTTGCAATTTTGACTCTCTGTATAATGTTTGGCTGTGGGTCTCTGTATCTGTTCTCATCTGTGGCCTGAATAAACCTTGCTGGTAATGAGTGAAGGCACTGATCTCTGAGCATAACAGAGTATCATTAGGAATTATTTTATTGATTTTTTTTAAAATAGGAGTAGTGTTGGTTTTTCTCTAAGTACTGGATATTTTGTCTCTGGTTCTTGGTTTTTCAAGCACTGTTGGGCATGGTTGGCAATTCCCACAAGTTCTGGGCCACCATTGCCCTTGAATATATTACAGGCAAGACAGATTGTAGGTCAAAAGTTTTGATGCTGGATTGGTGTCCACATTTCTGTTTTTGGTAGGTCACAGAGTAATTACCTTTCTGCACCAAAGACACTAGAATGTGGGGCTCAAGGCTCCATGTAGGCACCAACACAACTTCTTCTTGCTCAATGTGTTGTGTGGGTGTTGTCTTCAGCAATGGAGCCCCAGTATCAGTTTACAGAGAGTAACCCTTTGTTTTAGCAACAGCCTGGATTGTTTGGGAATTTTCATAGGAACCCCTTAGCCAACAACTCAATTGAATGCAACCCAGTCTCACCACCAGAAGCCTTTTCTGGCTGTAAGAAATGGGCAGTTGAAACTTTGTATCTTACATTACTAGGTGTCCTCATCACCTTTAGAGATTCCAGAAAGTTTCTGCTGCCCTAGGTTTTCACACTACCTTCAAATGCCACCCAGCCCCAGCTGTCTCTCCCCATTCCTTAGCTTTCTGAGAGTCTAGTTTCATAGCAGGGATACTGGCCAGAGCAATGTTTATTACCACAACTCTATGGAGTTTCAACATCTGTGCCGCCACCACCAAGAAACATGCTGTCAGC